TAATAAGTGCTGAAATACGCAACCATGCTTATGTTTACTCATTTTATACAACTATTTTATATAGAAAATTTAAGATAAACAAGAGTTCTATATGTTATATACCCTTCACCATGATGTGTTAAAAAAATAGTCAGTACAACAAATTATTACAAAAAAATCAAAAAATTCACGTTTTAAAAGGAAAAATTACTCTTTTATAGAATGTCATTCAATCAGGGTGTTGCGTGTGTGCATAAAAACCAAAGAGTTTACCAGTCATAGATCAAAAAAGCAAAAAAAAAAAACGTTTCTTCAAAAGGTACTTTTTGAATTTTTTATAATATTGAAGCTAGAAACATTAATTAAGCATGTAGAGCCCGGAGTAAGTGAGAACACGTAAAAGAGGACTTTTTGGTACTTTTAAGTTAATCTGTTCAAAAAAGTATCTTTCTCTACTTGATCAGGGCTTAATTTAATGTTTCTAGGTTCCATATTATTGAAAATTCAAAAAGTTCCTTTTGTAGAACGAAAAAGTACCAACATGTCCCCTTTTATAGGTTGTTACATAATCCGGCCCTACATGCTAAATTTTATGTTTCTAGGTTCAATATAATAGAAAATTAAAAAAGTACCTTTTGTAGAACGAAAATGTACCATAAAGTCCTCTTTTATGTGTTCTCACTTAATCCAGGCTCTACGTACTTAATTTCTTTTTTCTGGCTTCAATATTATAGAAAATTCAAAAAGTACCTATTGTAGAACGAAAAAGTGCCAAAAAGTCCCCTTTTATGTGTTCCATTTAATACGGGCTCTACATACTTAATTTCATGTTTCTAGCCAATAACATTCGTAACGTGTTGTTCTCGCTCTCCTTTTTTATAAAGGTGGTATTAAACGACATGTATTTTACATATGTACTGTCACTTTTTTATCCATTTGAATTCCGAATGTACCTATGTCAAAATTGTTACTTTAAATACGATTCATAATTTTTGCTATCACACCTGCCTGTGCTTTTCCGTATGACATGACCTATAAATGTAATCAAATCTGTCTTTTTAATGTGTAAAAATTGTTAAAATTATAAATTAGTTTATTAAAAATATGTACTTACTTTTTCATGTTCCTTATTCATTTTCTTTAATTTATTTTTTTTTTTAATTTATTTAAAAAAAAAACAGCTGTTTTGTTTATGTTTGTCACACGAAAATAGAGCACGCTCTAATCGAAAAAATTACATATGGGGAATTTCGTGTAAAAATCAAAAATTTTATATAATTTTTTTTTTTATTTTAAATATTTTTTTTCAAAATGGACCCTTTTTTGCTTAAAGGAAAGCTTATGCAATTTCCTTGAAGGCCTTTATAGTCCCACAGTGGGATGCGAGTGGGATATCTATAAAAAAATTATTTTTTAACTCAAGAATACAATTTTTTTCTATATTTGGCACTAAATTTCCCCCATATGTATTTCCACGTGTAAATGCAATGGTCTAAGTTTTATCAGACGATATGTACAACTTTTACAGATGGAAATTTTGACAGTACATATATAAATTCATGTCGTCTAATAGCACTTTACACCAGTGCCTCGTTTCTGTAACTCTCGCATCGAGAAATTTCTCGCATGAAACAGTGAAATTGAAGAAAAAACAATGTGAATTGGAACAAAATATCATTTCTCACATGCAAGTGTTTCTGTAATTTCTTTTTGTGAGAACTATCTGTCATTTAAGTTTTTTGACGTAAGTTATTGGAAATTTGTGAGTAAAAGTGTTTCTGTAAGAAAATTTTGTGAGAAGTTTCTCACATGAACTGTCAAAAAAACTCACATTTTAAAACGGTGCGGAAAGTAAAATTTTAAGGAAAAAAAGTTTAATTTAAACATAAATTCTATAAAATAATGAAAAAGTAATGATATTTTTATAATTAATTAACATTAAAATTAATATTGTCCACTAATTTTTAGAAAGTTGGAGGAATTTTCGATATACAGAAGCAAAAGCAGAAAAAGTATGTGGGAATAAACTTAGAATTGGCTAGGGGAGAATTTATTGGGACAATTTTTTGAACACATTTTATTTAATTCCTATATTTTTTGTTAATTTAATCATTGTTTATAAATTTGTCTGGCAATTTTTGTTTTCTTCATTTTATTTTTATGTTTTTGACAGCTGTTTTATTGGAAATATCCAATAAAAACGTAATTCGTGTTGCCTCTTCTCACTTTAAGTTACAGAAACACTTTTTACTCCCAAATCGAGAAACGATGGAATTTTTTGTTTCACACTTCTCGATGTGAGAACTTCTCACTAAAAGTTACAGAAACGGGGTACAGAGTATGAAAATAAACGAAACGTTTGCAATTGTTTTGTTTTGATCTTTGCAGTGAGTAAAACAGATACAAAACCAAAACAACAAAAACGATTTTCTCATTTGGTTTTGTATTGTTTTTGCCTTTGAGCAAATCATGTACATTAACTCAAATGTACGCAGCTAGAAAAGAAAACAATGGGAGCAGAACTGAAAAAGTTTCGAGCAAAACATTTTCGCAAACGTTTCCTGATTGTTTTGCTCATTACAAAACATTTTTGAGTAAGTATTAAAAGAAGACTTGTAAAGTTTTTAGTTTTGTAGATGCCTATGTGAAATACAGTTGTAATAAAAACAAAATAAAAACCATAAAAAATGAGATGAAATCAAACACACAATAAATGATTATTTCATAAAATACGTTTATGCATTTGTTTTGTTCTCAAATGTACGATTGTAAAGACAAAAAAAGCAAGTAGATGAGCGAAAAGTCAATTGTTTTGTTTTTGCTCTTTCTCACTTAAAAAAGTATTTGTTTTAGTTTTGCTCATGTACAGAACGATTTTAAAATTTAGAAAAGTTTTGTACATTATGGAAACGTTTGCGAAATGTTTCGTTTGTTTTCATACTCTGCTTTAAACAAACAATCCAATAACAAAATTTATGTGCGTTGTTTTTGTTTTTTTTATTATTTCTGTCTCCGCATGCACGAAAAATCTCAATTTTTAATGAATTGTTCAGAGGTTGTCTCAGATTTCTGCTCCTATCTCCGTTACTTAAGAAAAGAGCCAGCAGTTAGTCTAATACATCTCGTCGGATTGACGAGATAAATAAAATACTCCACTTTTGGAATATTGGTTCTTATAAATTACATATAAAATTTATATTTATTTATTTTCTATATATATGTAATAATTTTCGGCAATCAAGAACTTATCTTTATGTTTAACAACAGAGATTTCTCTATGTGTAACTCCATCAAAAAACTTCCAAGCTCTCATTCTCTAAAGCGCCATGAGACATCAAATTGTTTGACTCAAACGGTAAGTTTTTTGATTGTGTTAGTAATAAAACTCACATCGCACATATACATGTGAGTTTTTTCACTAACACAATCAAAAAACTTACCGTTTGAGTCAAACAAATTTGATGTGTGGCCGTGTCGCTTAAGCTTGGAAGTTGCGTACGTGTGAAAGAAGAAAAACCAGCAGCGTTGCCAATTTACCGCTTTTGGCGCTAGATTTAGCGCCTTTTAACAATCCAAAAGTCGCATTTTTTCCTCTTAGCGCTTTTTTGGAAAAAGGCGCTTTTTTCAGGAAATGAAAAATCTTTTTAATAACATAAAATTATTCTAGTTTAACAATAAAGATAAAACGGAATAATTCTAGACAGTACTCTGCCGTACAAATTAATTAAAGTTCCTTTTTCTAAACTTTCCATATTATGAGTAATTCAAAGATCTTTTAGTGTGATGAGTTATTTTAAAACTTTAAAACTAAAATAAAAAATATTCACCTCTTTCGCCAAAAGAATTGAAGTTTGTTTCTTCTCAAATTTTCATTCCCTTCGAAGGGAAAATTTATTTCGTGAAATTCTACAACAGCTTTTTATTGATCAGAAAATTCTATAAAAAATTCACAACAAGGAAAGTTTTTCACGTCAAAAAAGGGAAAAGTTATAAATTAACTTAATTTTAGTTAGGTTAACTTGAACTTGAAATTAAAATTGCATTTCGTGAAAACTATTGATATTTTAATGTGAATAATACAAAAATTATTTTGATCGCACAAAGTTTGTTTCACAAAAATTTAGCATTATTTTTTTATGACTTTGCTGTGAAGGAAACAATTACTTGACGATTACTTCAGTTTTTTTTCACAAAGTTTTGGCTTTTGGCATTTTTGGAAATTAAGAGTTTAATTAAAATTTATTATGGGGAATTTCAAAAAATCTCTGACTAGTTATTGAGATCTTGATCGATGATAGCAATTAGTCATTGAATAAGAAAATCGAACATATTTGTATTAACCTTAATCTTTTAAATTTCGTTCCCGAATCAAAATTCCAATTAAGGAGTAATTTTTTTAATAAACAAATTTTAGCTTTGAGTGAATGGACGCCGACTTTTAGTATAAAATAGTTGACAACACTGAAAACCAGAGAGCTCATATGAGAGAGATCGCTTCATATGTGTGATTTACATACATAAATATGTTTTGTAAAATTCAACAGAACCTTATAATTGAGAATTATTTTCTATAAGTATCCGCATAATAAAATGTGTATTTGCACGTTTCGAATTTCTGAATCAGAAAATAAATTATTTGCATTAGTGGGTGTTTAATTTATTAGAAACGTAAGACTATCTGCACAAATATTAAAGAAAACTAATTGCCCATTCTTTGTATTCTTGTATAATATTTTTTAAACATTTTAATTTTATTGTATTTTTTATCGAGTAGAAAAAGTTGGCAAACAGAGAACTGCAACAGAAAATTAAAATAAAAGGAAAATTAAATAAAAATACATATGTATGTTTTATTGAGATTAGTCTAAAAAAATATATAAGTATGTATGTAGTATGTGTAAAATATGCGGAAGAGCCAACATTATTATGACGCACAAATCAGGTTAACAAAGCATTATCTCAACGTTATGAAATGATGTTCTTATGTGTACAAGGAAAAGGATAATATCTTCATTTTAATGCTATAATAATTTTGTAGCTGGGAGGCATTTTAGCCATAGAAATATTCCGGTAAAACATAAGTAGTGTAGTTTTAGATTATTTGCCGTTGAACCTAAATTGCCTTGCATTAGATGCTCTTGACAGGGCGCCATAGTTTCTATGTTGACATCAGCTATTAGACGACCATTCAATTCAATTGGTGAGATGCAATAGTTGTGCTCAAGTAGTTTTCGTGTAGAGTTTGGTGTTTTTGAGACGAATGCACTATCCAAGAGATTTTGCAAATGACAGCCACAGGGAAAGTAGTTGTCGTTCAACTCTAAATTATCCACTCCATCGAGGCAGATGGCATCGGCTTCGGGTGTCTGTAGAAAATGATTGCCATGCAATTTTAAATATTTTATGGCTGATGTCTCATTGAAATCCAATGCTTCGATTATATCAATCTTATTGTTGAGGAGTTGCAATGTGTCCACCTGAGTCAAGCCAGCGAAGGCTTCACTGCTTATTACACCCAAATCTGATTCCTGTATGGTGAGCAGCAATACGTTCGTTAAACCACGAAATGTATACGGTCGTATATGCTCAAGATCCATATAAGCTAATTTAAGCAGACCAACTGTGTACATACCAGAGAAGGCATCTGACTCCACCGTTCGTATGCCGGCAGGTAATAGTAGATGACCCACTTGTGTGAGACTGGAAAATGCAAAACTTTCTATGCGTAACAAAGGATTGTTCGTCAATAGTATTAGCTTAACGTTCGATGTACCAGCGAAAGCATATGCCTCAATGGTGGCAATTTGGTTGTGGCTTAAGAGTATGGTCGATAGGTTCTGGAGGCCAGCAAAGGCAAAACTCGTTACAACCTGAAGTGGTGTGTATTGTATTGATAACTCCTTAAGGCGTGGAAGGCCACGAAATGCAAATTGTTTAATTTTCGTTATGTTATTTCCATCTAGTGATAGTTTTTTTAAAGCACGTAAACCAGCAAAAGAATCTGGTTTGATGACATGAAAATGGTTTTTTGTCAATGATAAATGTTCAACATTCGTAGGAAGATGACGCAATGGTATGTGATTCAATCCGCCAGTATTACAAAGAACCTAAAATTAAAAAAATAAAATATATTCGTTAGGCTATTTCTTTCTATGTGTTTTCCAAATAATGTATAGCCACTAAAATTCTTGTCTGAAGTTATTTATTTTTATTTTTCGCCGCACATTGGGGTAGCGAAGGTTTGCGATAATTCAATAATTAACAAGTAAGAAATTATAGTCGGGCGTGGCCGACCATATGATACCCTACACCAATTGAGAATATTAAATGTGATTAATTTCAATAATGAAGCATTTCTGTTAATCTTATATGGGTTCCAAATAATGTCTGTTCATGTACGGTTTATGCTGACTAGGAGAAATAAAAGACCGATTTCAATAATTTTCGATCCAGAGAATAGTATGTGACCCATTTTAACAAATTATATTCAAAAATGCGATCTGTTGCGTGCACACAAGGTTTACACGGTCACAAAGACGGACATAGCTTAATAAGGACAAATATTTTGGAGTGTTACAAACATCACCACATTGTACCGACTTTTGGATAGATAGTATATAGTATATCAGACGTAGTTAAAAGATAAACGACCGAAATCGGAAGGTCCGGATGTATGCAGGCTAAGGCAGAAATTGAGCCGATCCTTATAAAATGTATTATTGGGAATTATCTATATACATATATAAAAATGAATGTGTGTTTGTTTGTATGTTTATATGTTTGTATGTTTGTGTGTTTATATGATTGTATGTTTGAATTTTATAGACCAAGGTATATTAATTTTATAAGGTAGTGTCATCGGCGAATTCAGAATACCAAGCGAATTGGTTATATTTTTTTCATATGTAGTTTGACATTGTGCCTGCACTTGAAGGCGAATTGGCTGTAAGGGAAAAATTTCAAAAACAGCTGAAAAATAATTCAAAGCAAATTTATATTAAACAAAAAAAGTTTATAAATTTGAATCTGCTTTAATTTATTTTGATGTTTAAACTTTTGGGGCCAATCTTTACGTGAAAGATTAGCGATTAAATTAATATTAATCCTCGAAAGATGTTTTTGAGTACTCAATTAGTTAATTTTGTTTGCAAGTTTAAGCGCCCAATAAAGGTGGTTTAATCTTAAGCACGAAATGCCAAAGTGTAAACAGCTGATGCAAAAAATTTAAAAAAAATTTGTATAAATATAAACATTAAAATGTTCTATTTATTGATTAGTATAAATTATGGATACTTCAAAATACATTTTTTTGTTTTTAATTTAAGTTTTCACTAATTTTCATATTAAATTTATTGTCTTCTTCTTTTTATAAAATATGCATTGTTTAGATAACAAACAGTGAAGTTTTCTGTTGTTTTGTATGGCAACACTGCGAAGTTTAATCTTGTACTCAAAAACATCAAAGGGGATTAACATAAGATTAAATTTGTTTTTAGATTAACTAATCTGATTATTAATTGGTATTTGATTACCATCTCAAAAACCCGCTCTTAAAGATCAAAAACCCAAAAATATTCCCTAATCTCACAACTTCACTTTAATCACAAAATTCACATATACAAAATGAAACCAGTTTGACATTAACAAAATGAAAATAAAGTTTGACATTTACAAAATGTAAACAAAGTTTGATATTAATTATACAACACGGCGAAAAATGAACATAATAGCAAAAAACGATCAGCTGTTCTAATAACACTACTTTATAATTAACTAGCTATACCCAGTGTGCTTCGCTACCCTCATCGTAATGGAATAAAATAAATATCATTATTGTAAATGTATATATATCTGCAATATCAAAAATTCTCCTTTTAGAGAACTCTTTAAGTTTGATTTTATGATTCTAGTCTCAATATTACAAAAAATTAAAAAAAAAACAGTTGAAGAACGAAAAAGTACCAGACAGTGCCTTTTTATATATTTTCATTAAATCAGGATGACGCATGTTTAATTTTCAACCAGAAACCAAAAAAATCGCATACAGATTTTTATACAATCAGGAAGCTGCATGTCCAATTTTATGTTTTTAGGTTCAATAATATAGAAAATTCGAAAAGTATTAGTAAAAAAACAAAAAAGTACCAGAGTATCCTTTCTCAATTTTCGTTCAATTGGGATACTGCGTGTTTAATTTTATGTTTATATATTCAATATTTTAGAAAGCTCTAAAAGTATCAGTACCAGTGAAGTACGAAAAAGTACCAAAAGACCTATTTTATTTAATTTCATGTTCCTAAGTTCAATATTATAGAAAATTCAAAAAGTACCAATTAAAGAACGAAAAAGTTCCAAAAAGTCCCCTTTTATAGGTCCTCACTTAATCCTGGCTCTACATGCTTAATTTCACGTTTCTAGGTTCAATATTATACAAAAATCCAAAAAGAACCTTTTGAAGTACCAAAAAATCCCCTTTTATATCGAGCCCTTTTCGCACAAAAGATGTAACCGACAAAAACTAAATTTTACAGGAGAGCATTTTTTTTTTAATTATCTTCGAAGTAGGACATAGCATTACTCCAAAACTCCGTTAATAAATATTATTACATCTAAAATATGGGATGCAGTTTGTTTCGATTTTATATTGACGCTATATCCGATTTTTTTGTCGCTTACGTCTTTTTTGCCGAGACAAATTTTTATGATATAAACAATGTTGAGGCGGTTACGTCTAAATTCTCTGTCAAAAAAATATATTTTTTGGTGTATATCTTTATATAATTTGTATAAATCTGAAATTTAAGAGTGTAATAAATATTTTTTATAAGATTTTAAGATAATCTAGGGATGTCTGTATGTCAGTCTTTTTGTTGAAAACCGGATAGGTTCCGACCGTTATGAGCTAGAGTGATGAAATTCTCCAAAAATCCTTATTAATGACAAATATTGTTTTGTGTTAATAATGGGCAAAATCGGTTCTTGATTTCACTTAGCCCCCATACAAGTACCTCCCGGATTATAGTTAAAACATTAATAAATATGTTGTTTATGTAGCAATCGCTATAAAATTTTGCAGAAGTCGGTTATATATACCTGTAAATTATGTTGGGAAGTATGAAAAATGTCAGGCAATATTTAACCCTAGCCTGCATATATGGACCCTGTAAGACAATGATTTTATGACCATAGCAGTCTTAAAAATACCAGTATAGCAACGAAATTTGATGTATGATGATGTTTTAGGATGGTTTCCTATGCCCCTCATACAGAAAATAAATTTACAGTTAATAAATCTTTCAAAAATTAAGAAAGTATGATGAAATTCTACAAAAACAATTTGTTTTCAAAACTAATCACGCGTTTAAATTCTATAGACCTCGGTCCACAATTGACCTTATCCCTCATTAAAGGCCGTATTCTGAAAATCACCCTGATGTCTACATTAATATCCATACATGGTAGTACAATTCGTCTTATATCGAATAAATAAGTAAATTCTGGGAGTATTGATTCATTAAGAGTCCATATACAGGTCCGCCTTCCGAAATCCACAAATTTACAACCAAATATAAGAGATGGTTAAATGGTAATAATATAAATGCAATGTAATTAGTAATTAGAATGAACTAAATTCATAAAAAGTTATAGAAAATTATAAATTTTAGCACATAAATTGCAATGACATAGTGATAATTACATGAATTTATTACAATTATACTCAGATATGTGGCATTTTATTCAGAAACAAATTTAATACGTTAATTTGTTCAAAATTTTTCTATAAATTTAATATATTTTAAAAGAAAATTTAGACGTAACCGACACTTTGCTGTTAAAAAATTCATAAACAGAAAATTAATGTGTACTTAAGTCTTTTTTCTTTTACTTGTAAAGTTGAAACCATTGGGTCTATAGCTACGAAATTTTTAGAGATGATGCTAATGGACCTAAATTATCGATTTCTATAAAAAAACGAAAATCGAAAATCAAGTCGCTTACGTCCATTTTGCAAAAAGGGCTCGATATGTTCTCACTTAATCCAGGCTCTACATACTTAATTTCATGTTTCTAGGTTCAATATTATAGAAAATTCCTTTTGATGAACGAAAAAGTACCAAAAAGTCCCCTTTTATAGATTCTCATTTACTCCGGGCTCTACATGCTTAATTTCGTGTTTCTAGGTTAAATTTTATAGAAAACTCAAAAAGTACCAGTCGAAGGACGAAAAAGTACCAAAAAGTCCCCTTTTATAGATTCTCATTTATTCCGGGCTCTACATGCTTAATTTCACGTTTCTAGGTTCCATATTATACAAAAATCAAAAAAGTACCTTTTGAAGAACGAACAAGTACCAAAAAGTCCCCTTTTATAGATTTTCATTTACTCCGGGCTCTACAATTTCTATTAATTTCATGTTTCTAGGTTAAATTTTATAGAAAACTCAAAAAGTACCTTTTGTAGAACGAAACAGTACCAAAAAGTCCCCTTTTATAGATTCTCATTTACTCCGGGCTCTACATGCTTAATTTCATGTTTCTAGGTTCAATATTATAGAAAATTCAAAAAGTACCAGTCGAAGTACGAAAAAGTACCAAAAAGTCCTCTTTTATAGATTCTCATTTACTCCGGGCTCTACATGCTTAATTTCACGTTTCTAGGTTCAATATTATACAAAAATCCAAAAAGTACCTTTTGAAGAACGAAAAAGTACCAAAAGGTCCCCTTTTACAGATTCTCATTTACTCCAGGTTCTACATGCTTAATTTCATGTTTCTAGGTTAAATTTTATAGAAAACTCAAAAAGTACCAGTCGAAGTACGAAAAAGTACCAAAAGGTCCCCTTTTATAGATTCTCATTTACTCCGGGCTCTACATGCTTAATTTTATGCTTCTAGGTTTAATTTTATAGAAAACTCAAAAAATACCTGTGTAGAACGAAAAAGTACCGAAAAGTCCCTTCATTATTAATTTCATGTTTCGAATTCAATATCAAAGAAAACTCATAAAGTACCAGATGAAGAATGAAAAAGTACCAAAAAATATCACTTGGTACCGGGGTTCCAAATAACACCTCATTAGCATATTTAGTGTTTCTAAATCTAAAAAT